CCCATCCCATCCCTCTTAGCCTCCCCCTTCAACCACGATCTCATTATTTAGCCTTATATAATTTTGCATAGTAATTCTTTTTGATGCACAGTAGCCGGCTGGTAGCTTACAGGAACGATGACCATCCGTTACCGGTAGCTCAGCCGGCTTGCACCAGTTGCATTCTTTTTTCTCTCCTTTTTTCTGTGTATTGCGGCACAGTAGCTGTGGTGTTCCCCACCTCTAGCTAACGTGTATGATGATGACGTATAGTAGAACGGATAGCACCTAGGATTTGTAGGCCATCAACTTCGTACCAACGGTAAGCTTGCGGTTGTTCCACACTCACTACTCAAGCTTCGCGACTGCTCCCGCAGCCTTCGAGACGGGGATACGAAGTTCACTGTGTAGCTGCTAGTCAGTCGACATCACACTCCCAAGGTATCAGAAGCGAGAGATGGTCTCTAATACTTCAACACCAATGCTGATTCGTGGCACCATTGCAGATTGCATCTCCGCTGAGGCTGAAGACGTCACAGTTTTGTTTGTGTTGATGATGAGCCCGAATTTGGCCGCTGTCAAAGCCAGAACACTAGTCATGTGCTGCAACGCATCCGTGCTGTGTGCAAACAACGCACAGTCGTCAACAACATACGGATAGTTGTCTCACAGACTAGAGTTCTCGCACCGACACAACTGATGTTCAGCAACCCACCATCAATAGGGTGCTTCACACGAACACCGTAAGCACAAGACATCATTGCTTGAAGATAAATATTAAACAGAACTAGAGCTAAGACAGTCTTGCTTCTTGCCGGAGACAACTGCAAAGTCATCCGAGGTCTCTCCACTCAGATGCATCCTCGCCCACATACCACTGTGCAAACATTCAATTAAACTTACAAACTTACGCGGGCAACCATACTTACCCGACACCAGCAACGATGCATCGCGGTTCATCGTGTTAAATGCTTTGGTGAAGTCAACAGTAAGCCAGTACAATTACTCGTGTCACCCAGTGCACTTTTCCTGAAATTGACAAACCGCAAACATCATATCGAAGGCACTGTGACCCGAGCGGAATCCACATTTCTCTTCTTCCACGTTCGGTTCTACAAACTGACTGACGACGCGGTTGAGTAGAATTCGGGAAATCACACTACTCAGCAAGTTGGTGGCACCTCGCTTGCTTCCTTTGCCCCTGTGTACAGTGGTAGCACAAGGGCATCCTTCAGCTCAGGTTGCACCTCCTCTTCAATCCACATGCGTTGCACCAAGTGGTGCAGCGCAGTCAACAACGCAGGTCCGCCGTGTTTCAATACTTCAGACGGGATCCCGTTGGCACCATCACACTTGCCGTTTCGCAGCTGAGCAAGAGCTCTCTGCGTCTCATCCAGTGTCGGTGTGTCCGCCAAACTCACCTTCACTTCTTGCTGTTTCAGACCGTTTAATGTAGACCGTTAACTGAACAATGAATTTATACGGGTTAAAAAGCGTTGCTGTACAAGTCCCATTGGATAGTTGGTGAGGATATCGAAATAATAATAATAACAGTAAGACAGTTAATATTTTAACTATGAAAATAAGGACTTATCATTTGCTCCGCTGTAGTCCTGCAATCCGCGTAGATTCAAGCGCCCACAGTTAACATCAAATAAATCCGTGGTAAACTCCAATAGTAAGATGGAGATGTAGCGCCAAGTGGCAAAGTGTAAGTAGATGAGTACATCATCCAACCGTCTTCTAATTACTGCTAGTGTCGGCACAGAGACGTCCGATTCTGGGAGAGCATTCCAGGGTGACAGACACATATGGAAAAGAACTTTCTTCGGCTCTCCAGACTACTGTACTGTGAGTTTCGATGAGTAGCCCCTCAGGTTTGTATTGCCGCTGTTACAGTAAATTGCGGCGCACTTGATGTGGGTCTTGCAGAATCAACTATGCCATAATCAGGTCGCGTCGCAGTCTGCGATAGCTTCCGCTGAATACTCCTAATCATTTCAGCATGTGCTCATATGAATGCTTACGCATCCCAGTTACGTTCATAGATGCCCGACGTTGAGGCTGCTCAAGTGCATTAAGGTCGTGTTTCAATCATGGATTCCAGGCTTGAATTGCTTATTCGACATGGAGGCGGCCATACGCACTGGGCATTTATCGAAATATGGAGCTGTTTATTTGTCCGAACGCCCGTCGCAATAGCACAAACTGTTGCTTTCCAGTCTTCGAGGCTTTTTCGGATTGACTGGAGCAAACCACGTCATTTTGAACCAGGACACCTAAGTCACGTTCGCCAGTTGATTGTTGCGGTACATCCATTCCCGGCCAGTATGATCAGCTGCTCTGATATCGGATGGAAAGTGCCTTGCATTTACTCACGTTGAAATGCTTCAAATGTTTGGTTACCCATTGATATACCCTGACTAGGTCACTCTGAAGCCGATGCTGGCCGGCGTTCACCTGAATCCCGCGCCAAATCTTCATATCGTCGGCAAATATCAGGAGGTTTGAGGCGATTCTCTGTGCCATATCTTTCATGATATATATATATATATATATATATATATATATGGTTTCATCAGAGGGCGAGATACTACCCGGTTGACCAAGCCGAAGTAGGGTGTTGACTTAGGGAACACCATCCCGAGCCTTTGGTCGAATAGCACGCCCACAAAGCAGCGGAGTGAATTCAGGAAACCGCGCCCATTGGGAGCCGGTGACTGATTTCTCAGTTCATACGCCTTTCGTTTGTCAGACAAGGGCCCAATGCTCTCCAGAATTACAGCATTGCGTTACTGGAATACAATGCTTCGCCAGGATGAAGCAAGGGGCAGTGACTTGATTTAGTGGCGAGTCACGTCCGCCACGTCACAGTGTTGTTAAACGGACATATGTGGCTTTTTATAGGGAGAACGCTTGCCAGGCGAAAACCCACCACCACACGGAAAGGCAGTCGGTTCATTGTGATTAAGTTATCAGCTTGCGCTTAATCACGGATGCCAGTGCAGACAGTTAGCAATGGCCCAGATTCAAATCCTAGATATTTCCACGTATGATTCATCACTGTATAAAGTTGGGTAATCCGGTTCGAATGAACGTACAGTGACTACGCTGCGAGAAGATGAAGAGAAAAATAATCCAAATGACCCAGCAGCACGCACCTCACGCGTGAGTGTGGATGAATTTGGTTGTTCAAGAGACAGTCAAAGTGTGTTCGTCAGCTATGCACTATGTCTGCAGTCTGTGTGCACGCAGCGTCTGAACTATCATAGAGCAGCGTCATCAGCAGCTCCGACCTAGGTCCATACACCGCCTTCAAGGAGTCAAAGAATTCCTTGTGTTGGCGGCGTTCAGCGTAGCATTCCATCTGCTTCACCTTCTCCGTCCACCATACATTTTTATTACCACGGAGCTCTCGAGTCAGTCGCCATCGAATTCTGCGAAACTGGATCTTCTTCCCCAAGTAACTGGGGTCTGCTACATGTGCAACAAATGCTGCATTCCTCTCAGACACCAATCGTCGCATTGTTCTCATCAAACCAATCGGTCGGCTTACGGTTTACGCACCTCATGGTCTCTTTGGCTGGCGCCCTCACGTCTTTGGGCATGTGGTGCCACAGGTCGCCCACTGCGGCTATGCATTCCACATCACACAGGCGTGCAGCCATCGCCTTCTCCAGCTCCATCCTCTTCTCCGCCGTTCTCAGGAAAAGAAAGTTATATTTTCACCGGTTAACTGCGGAATTGTAGCACACAGATTTACGGAAATGTATGCTAGTACGGACCATATATATATATATATATATATATATATATATATATATATATATATATATATATATATATATATATATGCGCCTAGTCTAGTGAGCCATGAGCGAGGCCACTCGGGACCACTACAGAAGCGACGACGGGTCCTGTAGAGAAGTATTCAGAACCGGCGCAGCGTTTGTTGGTACGCTGCATTCGATTTACTAACCGCGTGCTTGCATGCTAAGTCTCTTTATTTCAGGTGGTGGGTTTTCAATTTTGCCTAAATGCTTTTCTTTCTCATAAAAATGTCTACCTGTACTCTATTCCATTAACTTGCACACCTCGCTTAAGCCAATTGTATTCGATTTCCGTAACATTTTCGTGTACGTGGCACTTCCGTAAAGTATACTTTCTGACCTCGTGAACTTATCTAGGATTCGTTTGTAAACAACATATTTCATATGCTCATTAATTTAAGGTTTATGTCACCCTTTCCTTATGCATTAATCAAGTTATTTTCTTTGTATCTCTCTCTCTCTCAAGTGATTGGCTGTTGTTTGATATCCCCGGTGTGACTGCGCTTGATGTGCATGTTGACAAGGTGCCTACCTGTCTATTACCCAGTACCTCGTTCATACTGGCTCCAGGAGACAGTTGGTCATTGCTGGAGAGGACGGGGTGCACTGTCATTTTGGCCGTACTAGGCGCGAAGAGCGGTTCCATGCAGTCAGTGTGGAGCGGACTACAGTCCAGCCACCGCCTTGTGTGCAATTAATTCCCCAAATACAGCGTGTTTGTGTTTGCCTGTGAAGGAGTGTGGGCCGGCTCCGTTGATGAAACGTGGCTTCCATTCACATACCTATCGGTCTTATTCCTTCGTGTTTACACTGAATATGGGGTGTGTGTGGATGGAGCTGTGGGTGGTACAGTGCAAGCCACCCAATGGTCCCTCTGTAGGCGCAGGCATCCTGTGGCTGGCCACAGTGACAGGCAAATCCGAAACCGGATGCCGCCAACCTTATATTTATTTATGTGCAGAAGCTTGTTTTGTTCATTGTTTCTCATCGTAAGATGCCGCAAATAATCTTTCTCTCGAAGCATGACTCAGTAGTCACACTGTAACTGCCATCTGCTACTAGAAGGGCGCTGCGCCTCACTGGACATTACTCATTGCCTTGCCGAATGCTACGTATTCCAGTTTTATATTACGCTCTCTTTGCTCTTTTGTATCTATGATTTCACTTTTACTTTGAATCCCGTTTCACAAGATTAAAAAAGGTTCAAGAGAAGAAGAAACACAGAGCTGCGTTGAAAGAATTGGAATTGAAGTCTCAAGGTTTTCAGCTTGACTCAACCGACCAGGCACCCAACATCCTGTCTGCGGACAATGATGAGGACCAAATATTGTTCTAATTTGCATCTCTTATCCCTGTGGCACTTCAGGCTGCACAATCACACACACACGCAATGTTAGCACCCAAACGTTTCACAAGTCATCATGCATTACGCTTATTTATGTCTTTCTCCATTCCAATTCCCATGTATATTTCCCTTACCAACTGTGATTGTAATACTTTCCTTGTCTGCAATTCATTTTTTGTTGATAGTTTGTCGCAATCCAGGCACGCATTGTGTAGCACCAACCAGAGTAGAGTGAATCCTTGGCTTGGTTTGTATCAAGGTTACGGTTGCAATTTACATCTGTGTACGTGTGGTTGAATATAAACACAAATCGACACCAATTAAATCTGTCGCAATCGTTTTTTGTGCCGTATTTGACATCGTGACTTTATGAATCCATATACCCTGATTACGAACCAGCTTTTTTTCTACCTGGTTGCATACATTCATGTGTGATCTTTAGTTTTTCCTCACGCCAGTCGCGTTTAATCTTGGTTTGTATATGTAAATATGGCAGTTGAACTGTTCGCTGAGCTTGGCAATTTGGTTGCAAACGTTTCGTCACCAATCGAGGTGACATCATCAGTGCGTAGTTGAGTAGCGTGCAGTAGCGTAGAATAGCGTAGGGGAGCCTCGGTGAGAGTGGCACTCTCACCGAGGCTCCTCTACGCTACTGCACGCCGCTCAACTACGCACTGATGATGTCACCTCGATTGGTGACGAAACGTTTGCAACCAAATTGCCAAGCTCAGCGAACAGTTCAACTGCCATCTGAACAACCTGAGCTACCAGTCTTCAATTCTATAGCCAATATGTAAATATGTCTGCACCTGCAGCCGGTTCGGTCGGCGTCCGGATTCTGCTTCCGCCCAGTATATTTTCGGTGCTTCTTTTAAGCAGAATACTTCCAACTGATCTGCACCAGAAATATCTTTTTGATTGTTGTACCAGGTTGTCACTGGACGGCGTGTCGTGCCATAAAGTGATCGTTTAAACTTGTATTAGGCTCATATAGGGCCTAGACAGGATGGAGATGGGACGAGCAGCACAAACGCAATGACGCTCATGAAGTAAAAAGCTGCCCAATCGTGCTTTTCGTCTAGTGTTCCAGTTCGGCGCGTACTTCCTAGTTTCCGTTTAGCTTAAGGACTGACGAAACTCAAACCAAATTGTAGCTAAGAAGGACGAAAGGACTTAATCCCTTTGATCAACATCCGGCTTCATATGCACTTTTGAATCGTTTCCAGATTATTGAACTTGCTTTCGCGCAGTCCGCGATGTGTACTAACCTTCTGCTTGTTTCCCGCTCACTCGGCAATACGCGTAGCCAGGTGTTGAACAATTCCACTCGTTCATGGGTGCTCTCATTCCATTTCTTTTAGGTTACTATTTTGAAACCCATCTTCCTATGGTTCTTGTCCTACTTCTCGATAGGAACACGCGTTCAAAGAATGTGGCCTAGATCAGGATAACCTCCAGTGGTGGTTGGTGTATTAGCCACACGATTGTACCTGTTAACATTCTGTTTGACTAATTTAACTGACAAATAGACCCTCGACTCGTGATCGATATTCTATAGGTATACACTGGCAACGGTGCTCGATGAGTAGATCTTTTCAATCTTTCATGTGCCACTAAAGTAGTCATCCAGATTTCAGTCGTTCAGCTTCTGTCTCTTAGTAGCACAATGAAGTTGTCTTGCTAATAACTGGGTATTTCTCGGACAGGTCAAATAACCACTTACTTAAAATTCTAGCCCAGTGATTGCTCTGTGTTTTCCCCATTAAAGAAAGGATAGGCTCTAGTCACATCTTTCCTTTCGGCCAACTTCTTCATGCCTTCTGTAAATGCAGTCGACTGACCGAAGGAAACCATGAAACCACATGTATCGAGCACTTTCTTTTACGCCTGTCCACAGGTACCCAGCAACGCAATTCATCCATGGAACGGTCAAAAATTAGTGGCAGTTTCAGTCATGCGGTTACTAAACGGAATGGACTAGGTTAGGTAAGCGTTCATGGCCGTTCGGCGTAGTAGCCGTCGGCAAACAGCTCCGACCACCTGCTGCGCATTCTTGCTTGTGCGCTCCCCTCGTCCTTGACACGATTACCATTCGACAAATATTTGTTACTCAAATCGATTTAAGTAGTACAAATTTAAGTAAAAATCCCCTCAACACTCCATTGCCTCTTGTGCACGACTGAACCGTGCTTCATCACACTTGCACCGTTTCACTTCCACATTCAAATCTATTAGGAAATTATCATCCGAATAAATCCTTACATTGCTTAGTAATCATTTACCACTCCATTTCACTATCTACCACTAGGTAACTGCTTACTGTATTTCAGGCTATGGTTGAATGTCTGTTACTCGTCGTAAAAATATTTCCTGCTAGGGATGGTGTTGAGTGAGCCATTATCCTTCGCTACATTTGGGTGCAAGCTACTTGATGTAACAAGTTGGTTCTTCACCATTCACTCACTATCTAATTTTCCGACAAACTATTTGGCGTTCATTATAGACGTTACGCGTTTCGCCAATGCATTACACCGTGGTCCATATCCTATTCTTCGCCATTGGGATAGTAACTGCAATACGATTTCAAAGTCCATCCGGATCGAAGAGGTGTCATCGAACCCAGGCTTCTGCGCTCTATCGAACTGTTATTGCGCATGAATACGTCGCTTATGCCGTATGGAGGGACAGCTTGTGTATCAGTGGAGGTTTGATCGCTGGAGCCATTAAGGATGCAGACACTTGCATCTGTCACGATACTTTTACTCTATCAGAGTTCACGGTTGTCTTCTCAGCTTGCAACGGGGTGACCTCGGGAACAAGTGTTATGGGACTTTTACCACTGCGGAGTAGATAGGAATTTTAGGTGGACTATCGCTGGTTGGGAAATGGATGTACTGTCCGGTAACACCGTGTCATTTCACGTATCTTCTTCCGCTTCGGTTCCATGTAGGTTCTGCGTGATTTACTTTGAGTGACTTTGCTCTCTCCGAACACCTAAATTTGTTCCGGTAGCATATCGAGTCCGTGTATATGTCCGTTACGTCTAATTGCCTTACCACAAGGACCGTGCAACGATCAATTGTCTTCTGGAGCCAGAATGAACGATGTAGTGGGTAATAGACAGGTAGGCACCTTGTCAACATACACATCAAGCGCAACCATACCAGGGATATCAAACAACAGCCATTCACTTTAAACGACAAGCTGAAATAAAATAAATCCAATAATGCATACAGATACGGTGGCAAAACTCTTCGCTAAATTACTATATGAAGTAAGTTGGTTAGCAACGAATCTGCGATAAGTACAAAACGTACACAAGTTTATTCTGTAAATGTTACAAACGCGATAAAGTTAACGAAGATAATCACAATTAGCGTTAGCGACGTGTGCAAATTAATAGAAGATGATTCAGGTAGGCAGAACAAACCAAATAAATTGGAATGAAATTTAGCCACCTTAAAAAGACTGTTTAAGTGTAAGTTGGTTTAGCCCAACTGCGGTGAAGAAGCATCAAGAATGCAACATCAGCCTCAACATGGGGCACACACATACACTGGTTGGCGGCATCCGGTTTCGGATTTGCCTGTCACTGTGGCAAGCCACAGGACGCCTGCGCCTACAGAGGGACCATGGATGGCTTGCGCTGCACCACCCACAGCTCCAACCACATACCCATATCCCGTGTAAACCTAAAGGGTATTAGACCGGGAGGCATGTGGATGGGAGCCACGTTTCATCAACTTAGCCGGCCCACACTCCTTCACAGGCAAACACAAGCACACTGTATTTGGGGAATCAAGCGCACACAAGGCGGTGGCTGGACCGTAGTCCGTTCCACACTGAGTGCATGGAACCACTCTTCGAGCCTAGCACGGCCACAAGAACCGTGCACCCCGTCCCCCCCAGCAACGACCAACTGTCTCCTGGAGCCAGTATGAACGATGTAGTGGGTAATAGACAGGTAGGCACCTTGTCAACATACACATCAAGCGCAACCATACCAGGGATAGCAAACAACAGCCATTCACTTTAAACGACAAGCTGAAATAAAATAAATTAATAATGCATACAGATACGGTGGCATAACTCTTCGCTAAATTAGCATATGAAGTGAGTTGGTTAGCAACGAATCCGCGATAAGGAAAAAATGTCCACAAGTTAAAAATGCTACAAACGCTGCAAAGTTACCGAAGATAAGCGTAATTAGTGTAAGCAACGTGGCCAGTTAGTAGACCATTATTCAGGGAGGCAGAACAAACCAAGTAAAGTGGAATGAAATTTATCCAGCCTAAAAAGACCTATTTTAAGTGTGCGTTGGTTTAGCCCAACTGCAGTGAAGAAGCTTCAAGAATGCAACATCAGCCTCAGCATGGGGTAGGGGTTCGGTCATACATGGTCGAAATATTAACAAGTGGCCAAACTGTCTTTAAAGGAATAACTGATTCGCGGCGATAGACTTAGTGCACAGCACATACCTTCGAGTACTAATACTGTATTTAAGAGCAATTAGAAAGCTTTCTATACAACTCAATAGAATTATGAAAAATCAAAAATATTTAGTTGTGAATCGTCAGCAGTTGTGTATGGTCAGTTAATGGTTCTCATTCTTCGGTTAGGAATTTGTATTGGTGTCATTATTTTCGGGTATTCGATGTCTTATTTTGGCATTGTATGTGTATCGTTTCACAAACGCGCAGGTTTCCGAAATGATCGTCTATACGTGTTTTGAAACACTTCACTTCCGGTAGTGTATTCCTTAAGTTTACAATTCTTCGTTCTATACAAAGCTGATGTGATACTTTGTTCATGTAAGGGACCCTGAGTTTGCAACGGTGTTCTCGGGTGTTACAGGGTTCCCGCTGGTGAAATATTGGCCGAAGTATGGGGAAGTGATTCAAGTGTAGCACTCGATGGGTAATAATAAGGTCAATTCTTACTCGGCGATAGGATAGTGTGTAGAGTCGGAGCCTTTCACAACGTTTTCATAC